ATAATACAGTGACATGAAAAATGGAGGCTTTATCTAGGAGGTCACTCCAAAGATGAGTCAACAAAAATAAAACACTGTAATTGTGCAGTAGTTTAAAAGATAAAAGGAAACCATTTACGTATATAACATTTTAAATTCATCTCTAATTTGTAAAAATCATTTTTTAAAAAAAGGAATAGAAGGATACTTCCTTAGTAATGCAATATGAATCAAAGTAAAACTAATTACAATTGATAGGGAAACATTAAAATCATTCCATTAAACTTTTTTTTTTTTTTTGTGAGACCATGGAGTCTCACTCCGTCCCCCAGGCTGGGTACAGTGGCAGGATCTTGGCTCACTGCAAATTCCACCTCCTGGGTTCAAGCTATTCTCCTGCCTCAGCCTCCTGAGTTGCCGGGATTACAGGTGCCCACCACCATGCCCGGCTAATTTTTGTATTTTTAGTAGAGATGAGGTTTCACCATGTTGGCCAGGCTGTTCTTGAACTCCTGACCTCAGGTGATCCACCTACGTTACCCTCCCAGAGTGCTGAAATTACAGGTGTGAGCCACCACACATGGCCCCATTAAACATTTTAACAAAAGAAAAAGAGATACTCTTTTTTTTTTTTTTTTTTTTTTTTAGACTGAGTTTTGCTCTTGTTGCCCAGGCTGGAGTACAATGGCGTGATCTCGGCTCACTGCAACCTCTGCCTCCTGGGTTCAAGCGATTCTCCTGCCTCAGCCACCCCAGTAGCTGGGATTACAGGTGCTCACCACCGCACCCGGCTAATTTTTGTATTTTTAGAAGAGATGGGGTCTCACCACGTTGGCCAGGCTGGTTGCAAACTCCTGACCTCAGGTGATCTGCCCGCCTCAGCCTCCCAAAGTGCTGGGATTACAGGTGTGAGCCACCATGCCCAGCCCGAGATACTGTTTATCATCTGATTTTTAAATACTTACAAAATACCAAAAAAGAGGCAAAAAATTGGGGAAACAAAAATAAAGGGACATGAGGAAGCATGAGAATGTTCCTTCTGAGTCTGTAGTTCTGGGTTCAGAGACTCTAGATGTGCTAGACAGAAACTGAATGGGAATCGTGAGGCAATTAACTCAAGGGAAACAAAGAGGGAAGCGGCTGTCTCTCTGGGAGGTTCAGAAAGACCAAGCAAGGGATATAAACCCTCCCAGCGATACCCGGGGCCAGACCTACTGACCCAGCCCTGTTCACCTTTGCTCCCCCAGGGCTGAAGCTCCTTCTTCAGGGTCGGTCCCTTAAGCTAGGGACCAAAGGCTGGACTTGTTGTCCAGGGATCCCTGGACAAATCCTTTCTGTAGGATAAGGCTGATTCTTAAGTCTTCCAGCTACAGGCCTGGTGTGTCCTGGTTGGTCATTCTGACCCTAACCGACACCTCCATATATGTCTGGGAGCCAGTCAGATTTCTCAAAGTTTTAAAAGGCTTAGAAATACAGGGTGAAACAGTGTTATTCTTAGAAAACCCTAAAGATTCAGCTTCTGTGTGTATGCCTGTGTGTTTGTGTTTTTAGGATAACGTTTTGTAAAAGGAGAACAATGAGTGAGGGAGACCTATTTGATGTTAAAACACGTTCTGAATTACTGCTTTAGAGAGATGTTTTAGCCCAAATGCTTTTCCGAAATGATAATTTAATCAGAATACCACCGTGTTGGCAGATGGACAGAGCAACTCTTGGGAAGTGGAGTGCGAAACCCGGAACGGACCGCTGCCTGCACGGGGCTTCCCTTCCCTTCCCCTCCCCATCAGACACCTCCAGCACCTGCTTCTTGGTCACAGCTCCCATCCTCATCCTTGATCCTCAAAGGATAACAATTTCAAACCAGAAAACTAGCACACTATTCTGGAAGCTGTAATTCCTTGCCTAGTATATGTGGTGAGGTTTGGATTTTTAGTTGAATGAAAGAAATGAAGCCTGGAAACAAATACTACCATATTCACGCAAAGCTCTAACCCAAAAGAACTACAGAAAAAAAAGAAACTGATGTTGAGTGAAACAGAATAGTAATTCAGAGAAAGAGGCATATTTAGCCAATTATGCCTAGCGTTCCATTATTGGAACGCTAAGCATGTGGGAGTTATTTATTTCCTACTGCTCAAGGTCATCGCCAAGGTCTGATTGCAAAAATTCAAAAAAAATGTGACCTTAGGCATAAATGGGTTAAAAAGAAAAAAGTTCTAGATGGGGTAAGGAATTAAACACATAGAACAACAACAATAGGCTGGGCGCAATGGCTCACGCCTGTAATCCCAGCACTTTGGGAAGCCAAGGCAGGCGGATCACCTGAGGTCAGGAATTCCAGACCAGCTTGACCAACATGAAGAAACTCCATCTCTACTAAAACTACAAAATTAACCGGGTGTGGTGGTGCATGCCTGTAACTCCAGCTACTCGGGAGGCTGAGGTAGTAGAATCACTTGTACCCGGGAGGCAGAGGTTGCAGTGAGCCGAGATCGCGCCATTGCATTCCAGCATGGGCAACAAGAGCGAAACTCCATCTAAAAAAAAAAAAAAAAGAACAACAACGAAAACCCTCATCTATAACATGATTACTTCAAAAGAGTTAGAAAACAATTTAAAATAAGCAAATAATTGCTCCCTAGTAAATACCAATGATAAATTATTAACTATGGTAAGTAAAAATTGCCAAGGAAAACATGAAAACTCAAACAATAAAAAATTGTGTATCATTTCATAATGGAATCCAGGTCACCTAGGATTAATATAAGATAATGAGAATATATTATTATATATTATATAATATATGTTATAGACCAGGCGTGGTGACTCATTCCTGTAATCCCAGCACTTTGGGAGGCTGAGGCAGGCTGATCACCTGAGGTCAGGAGTTCGAGACCAGCCTGACCAACACTGAGAAACCCCATCTCTACTGAAAATGCAAAATTAGCTGGGTGTGACGGTGCATGCCTGTAATCCCAGCTATTCAGGAGGCCGAGGCAGGAGAATCACTTGAACCCGGGAGGCAGAGGTTGCAGTGAGCCAAGATCCTGCCACTCCACTCCAGCCTGGGCAACAAGAGCAAAATTCCATCTCAAAAAAAAAATATATATATATACACACACACACACACACACACACACACACACATATTAGCATTTATTATTATGATATAATGAGATTATATTATTATATTAATAATGTAATAAGAAAAAAAAATACAGCACCTAGATTAAATAAAAACAAGTCCAGGCCTGGTGGCTCACGCCTGTAATCCCAGCACTTTGGGAGGCCGAGGTGGGTAGATCACCTGAGGTCAGGAGTTCAAGACCAGCCTGGCCAACATGGCGAAACCCCATCTCTACTAAAAATACAAAAATTAGCTGGGCATGGTGGTGTATGCCTGTAATCCCAGCTACTCGGGAGGCTGAGGCAGGATCACGCCACTGCACTCCAGACTGGGCAACAGAGTAAGACTCTTTCTCAAAAAAAAAGCAAAGCAATATGTAAAGTGTATGACACTATATAAAAATGTGAACAAAATTCCCAACAGAAAATTGGCAAGGGAGAAAAAACAAAAAAGTTTATACAAAGAGAAATGGGAGAAATGCAGCAGCCGTTAACTAGAAATCAGCAGTAGAAAAACAATGACATTAGAAATTAAAGATATGCAAATTTATTCATCTATATTAAAATCCAGTATTATGCCCCTTCAAAGAGAGAAAGAACAGAAGTACAATCATTGGAGCTATTGGGTGATCAGGTCTGGACAATGCTGGTGACTCTGTATAACTGGTACTCACAGGTTTGGCAATAATGATCAGGAGCCATAATCCCTGTTTATCCTAATTCTGTAATTAAAAATTAGAAAAGCTATATGAACAGAGCTGTTCAGAGCAGCCTTTATTTGTTGCTGTATTATTTTTATTTTTATTTCTGAGACAGAGTCTCGCTCTGTCACCCAGGCTGGAGTGCAGTGGTGCAATCTCGGCTCACTGCAAGCTCTGTCTCCCAGGTTCATACCATTCTCCTGCCTCAGCCTCCCGAGTAGCTGGAACTACAGGCGCCCGCCACCACACCTGGCTAATTTTTTTTTTTTTTTGTATTTTTAGTAGAGACGGGGTTTCGGTTTCACCATGTTAGCCAGGATGGTCTTGATTTCCTGACCTCGTGATCTGCCCACCTTGGCCTCCTAAAGTTCTGGGATTACAGGCATGAGCCACTGCGTGGCCCAGAGCAGCCTTTATTTATGTAACAAAGATCTCAAAGTAACCCAAATATCTAGCAATCAATTTCAGCACATTTACTTGATAGACTATTTTCAAATCATTAGAATGTTAAATATGTAAAAACATGAACAGTTTTTGATGAAACAGTAAGTGAAAAGTAGAACTCAAAATCGTCTGCCCCACCATGTTAAAACAATAGAGAAAGATGAGCTGGGAACAAAGAGCGGATAAAGCCTGAGGATTGGAGTTGTCAATGGATATGACAATGGGAAAATCCCTCTGAGTCTGCATTTGGGCGGCTAGGAGGGGATTTGCATCAGAATCCACAGATCACCAGCACTGGGCAGCCCTGATATTTAAAATGCAGATTCCAGACTCAATCAGGCCGGAGCCCAGAAATTTGCATTGTTAACACGTGTGTGTGTGTGTGTGTGTGTGTGTGTGTTTTATAAACACTGAAGGTTGGGAACCATGGATGACTAAGTGAAGTCATTTTGTGACTCTAGATTTGAATTTTCAGGCTATGGAGTGTAGTTTGGCTAAAGCAAAACCCAGGTAAAATCAGGATTACACACCAATTCCAGTTTGCTGTGGGTTGGGAACGGATGCGGGTCGAGTGTGGGTGGGCCAGTGCTGGCAAGCCTTGATCTTTGCCCGGGCTTGTCCTTCTGGGGAGAATTACTTGCTTCTGCTGGACTGAGGGTGACCTTGTCTCTGGCTGGAGCCCACGCTGCCATGGAAGACTCTTTTCAGTGCCCACTAATCCTTGACGTTCACCTTGTCCCCCGCCCCCAGAGAAGTCGTCCGGACCCTCCCATCCCTGGAGTCTCTGCAGAGGTTATTTGACCAGCAGCTCTCCCCGGGCCTCCGTCCGCGTCCTCAGGTAAAGGGTCTTGGGGTTGAAAAGGTGAGATTAATCCACCAGGGAGGAGGATTGAGTTAGCCAGTCCTGAGGGCTCAGGAGGAAGAGGGGAGCACTGCCCACCGTGTGTTCACTGGGCAAGAGCAAGCAGGTACGCTGGGGTGGGTGGTGGGAGCCTCAGCCCCTGCCCTTCCCAGGAAGCCATCTCCCACTGCCCGATTTTGATTTGAGGAATAAAGATTTCAAATTATGCACCCGGCTGGGTGCGGTGGCTCACGCCTGTAATCCCAGCACTTTGGGAGGCCGAGGCGGGCGGATCATGAGGTCAGGAGATCGAGACCATCCTGGCTAACACGGTGAAACCTTGTCTCTACTAAAAATACAAAAAACTAGCCGGGCGAGGTGGCGGCGCCTGTAGTCCCAGCTACTCAGGAGGCTGAGGCAGGAGAATGGCGTAAACCCGGGAGGCGGAGCTTGCAGTGAGCTGAGATCCGGCCACTGCACTCCAGCCTGGGCGACAGAGTGAGACTCCGTCTCAAAAAAAAAAAAAATTATGCACCCATCAGCAAAACTTATTTGTACCAAATAAGGGGGCAAGCAGGGCCTGTTCCCATCATTTCTCATCAGAAACTGAAAGGAAAGAAAAAGAGGAGGCACCTAAACTCTTGATCCTGCCTCTTATCCCAGGAGGAGCAGGATGAAGGTGCCCCCCACCCCCGCACCTGCTCGTGGCCTGGCAGGAGGCCAAGGTCGTGTTGCCCATTAAGCAAATATCTGTGTAACAAAAGCTGTCATCAAAAAATTTTAACAAGTTTTTAAAAAAGTAAAAGCTGTATCTCAGAAGAAAATACCTGCAACAAAGATTAGGGAAAAAGGATTACAGACAAAGTATTCATATGTTTATTATTATTATTTTTATTTGCGACATGGTCTTGCTTTGTCACCCAGGCTGGGGTACAGTGGCGCAATCACAGCTCACTGCATCGTCAAACATCGGGGTTCAAGAGATCCACCCCACCTGAGCCTCCCATGTTTTAAAACCGCAATTACTCATCAGCTAATAGCTGGGGATTACAGGTGCGCACCACCACGCCAGTCTCCTTTTAAAACTTTTTGTAGAGACAGGTCTCGCTATGTTGCCCGTGTTGATCTCAAACTTCTGGCGATCTTCCTGCCCCAGCCTTCTGAAGTGCTGGGATTACAGGTGGGAGCCACCATGCCTGGCCATGTTTTTAAAAAATTCCTACAAACAATTAAGTAAAAACAATTCAATTTTTAAAAGAGGGAAAGACTATAAACAAGGCGGCTTACTGAAGAGGGACAGGGAATAGCCAATATAGATATGAAAAGGTGTTCAGCCTCACCTTGTTAGTAACCGGGAAATGACATTTGACACTAGGCGGCCTCTTCTTGCCTATTAGATGGGCAGAGTTGATGCTAAAGTTGATGGGTGAGTCAGGACTTGGCTAGGGTGTGGGGTGGAAGAGGTGCTCACAGGGACTCACTCCTCTGCTGTTGGGAATGGAAATAGGTTTTCTGAAAGGCAGTTTGGCCGTTTGTATGAAAATGTGAACTGCAGGCATCCCTCAAGCCCACAGTTCCATATGTCGGCAGCTTCTTAGGGATTATAAGTACACAAAGAGTAAAAGAAAAACATTAAAAATCACATAAACAGGCCGGGCATGGTGGTTCACACCTCTAATCCCAGCACTTAGGGAGGCCGAAGTGGGTCGATCACCTGTCAGGAGTTCGAGACCAACCTGACCAACATGGTGAAACCCTGTCTCTACCAAAAATACAAAAATTAGCCAGGCATGGTGGCAGGCACCTGTAATCCCAGCTACTAGGGAGGCTGAGACAGGAGAATCGCTTGAACCCTGGAGGCGGAGGTTGCAGTGAGCTGAGACTGTGCCACTGTACTCTAGCCTGGGTGACAGAGTGAGACTCCATCTAAAACAAAAAAAAGGAAAAAGAAAAAAAGAAAATCATATAAATATAGGGAGCTGGTGAACTGCAGTGGTGCAGAATTCTACTCTAAGGTGTGAACACTGCTCTGGAAAGATCTCCAAGGCTACTGTTAGGTGGAAAAGCAAACGGCGGGATGATACAGAAACTCTGACGAAGTCTCCACGAGGAAATCAGATGGGAAGGATTTAAACCCAAAGGGCTGTGCTGGTCACCACCATGCAGGGATGAGACTGGGGAGAAGGGGACTGGGCCAAAGGGGATTTTGAGTTTGCCCACATTGTTTGTTTGAGTTTTCTACGGAGAACATGTATTTGTGTTCTACTTGTGCAACTTTCGAAATTCAGAAAAAAAAGTTTTGCTTTCTCCGAGGTGAATGATGGGTTAATTTCTAAGGAAGTAAAAGCAAATCTGGACAAAACAGGGGCTCTGCCCGACTTTTGAGCTTAAGTCACTTGAGTGGAAGAACACACAGTCAAGTCTTTGAAGTAGATTAGAAGAGAGACAAAGCCTCGCGAGAGAGGCCAGCTGCAGTCCCAGTTACGGTGCTGCCGGGTGGAGGCCAGTCTCTGCATTTGGTGGCAGGACAGAGCAGCCACAGGGTGGAGGGTGGGTCTTGCTGCCACACTCCCCTCCCCTTTATGAGACTGAGTCTTGAAGAAAACCAGAAAAGGTTGTTCTTGATGTGTCTTCAGGAATTCAGAAATCAAGGAGGGAGTTGAGGCTGCCTTGAGGAGAGGAAAGAACATTGGCCCATGGATCAGAAACACCTGAGTTCAAAATCTGATTCACCCTTGTGGATCTTTAGTCTCCCCATCTGTGAAATGGGGACAGTAATATCTCTGCAGGGTTTGGTTAAGGAGTGAGTGAAACTGGGTGCGTGAGACATCTGACCCTGCTAGACTCTCACCAACATGAGGCCCTTTCCCTTAAGTAGGCAGGACAAGCTGGGGACACCCAAACCCCTGTGTGGTTACTTGAGGACTGCTGGGAAGTGGGAAATGCAATGTTATCAAAATGCTGGCTGGCCTGGGGGATGGGGGAGACCTGGGTCTGCCCTGTGTGAGAAAGGAGAGCCAGTAACCTCCCTTGGATGGTTAACCTGCCTTGGAGCCCCACTTCCTTTGTTTTGAAAAGTGCAACTGAAAAGCAAAGTGAAAAAACTGGGTCAGCTGATGTAAACCCTCAGGCCAGTCTAGCCATTCACAGGCTAAGCTGTGAATTCTATCCTCAACCTCGACACTGGTGACATTTGGGACTGGATTGTTCTCTGTCATGGAGGACTCCTGTGCACTCTAGGAGTCCTCCACATCCTGGCCTTTACCCATGAGATGCCATTAGCATCCCCCAGCTGTGACAACTGGAAATGTCTCAGACATTGCCAAATGTCCCCTGGAGGGCAAAATCACCACCAGCTAAGGACCACTGGCTAGCCCCCAATTCAAATATCAGATCTATACTAGCTGTAAACTCACCACTTTGACTCTATTCCCCCATCAGCAAAACAAGGATTAGAAAAATCAAGACATGTGAGGATTAGATGACTTAATATATTGAAGATGTGCTTGGCACATCATAAGAACTCATCAAATAATCATTAGGCAGAAGTATGGGGAAAGCTTCAGCATTTTTCTAATACTTTTTGTTTGAAGCACAAACGCCCAGTTTGTCAGTAACTTCATTTATGCTAAGATCTTGTCAGATCTCGCCTCCCAAAAGTCACAAATCCAAAGAGAGAGCTGGTGGGGGGCGGGGGACCTACAATTGCATGGTGACCGCCCGGGGTGAAGGCAGGTCATTCCAAATGTCCTCTACTGTGGAAAGAAGGAGGCTTGAATCTGTGTTACCATTTCAATTATTTATGAGATAAATAACCCTAAAACAAGGGAATCCTACACTATCCCATCTCCTGACCAGCTTTTCTTCTCAACCAACAGGCAGCCCTTCTGTTGTCCCTTGCCTGAGTCTTAGCGCCACCCCTTCAAGCCACTTCCCTCATTGACAATAACTATAGAAGAATTGTGAGTTTTATTAAGAAGCAAGGGAAAGACCAAAAAGTGGTTAGAGAAAGCACTGACAATTATTAACTGCTGTGATGGTGGTAGTGATGGTTATTGGGACGGGGAATGGTGTGGTGTCTAAGGGTGATATAGATGGTGATGACAGAGATCATGGGAGGGCTGGTAGGAGTGGAGGTGGTGGTAATGATGGTGATGGTGATGGTAGAGGTGGTCATGATCATGGTGAGAGTGGTACAGTTGAAGATGGTGGTAGTGATGGTGATGGTAGAGGTGGTCATGATCATATGGGAGTGATAGGGGAGGAGATGGTGGTAGTGATGGTGATAGTGGAGGTGGTCTTGGTCAGGGTAGGAGTGGTAAGGGTGGAGATGGTGATAGTGATGGTGATGGTGGAGGTAGTCATGATTATGGTGGCAGTGGGAGTAGTGGAGATGATAGTAGTGATAATGGTGGTGAAGGTGGTCATGATTATGGTGAGAGTGGTAGGGGTGGAGATAGTGGTAGTGATAGTGATGGTGAAGGTGGCCATGATGATGGTGAAAATAATAGGTGTGGAGATGGTGGTAGTGATAGTGATGGTGGAGGTGGTCATGATCACGGTGGGTCTGGTAGGGGTAGAGATGGTGATGGTGATGGTGGAGGTGGTCATGATCATGATAAGACTGGTGGGGTGGAGATGGTGGTAGTGATAGTGATAGTGATGGTGATGGTGGGAGTGGTGAGGGTGGAGATGATGGTGGAGGTAGTCATAATTATGGTGGGAGTGGTGGGGGTGGAGATGATGGTAGTGATCATGATGGTGGAAGTCGTCGTGATTATGGTGAGAGTGGTGGGGGTGGAGGTGGTCATGATCATGGTGGGAGTGATGGGGTGGAGATGGTGGTAGTGATGGTGATGGTGGAGGTGTTCATGATCATGGTGGGAGTGATGGGGTGGAGATGGTGGTAGTGATGGTGATGGTGATGGTAGAGGTGGTCATGATCATGGTGAGAGTGGTAGGGTTGAAGATGGTGGTAGTGATGGTGATGGTGGAGGTGTCATGATTATGGTAAGAGTGGTAGGGGGGAGATGGTGGTAGTGATGGTGATGGTGCAGGTGGTCATGATCATGGTGGGAGTGATGGGGTGGAGATGGTGGTAGTGATGGTGATGGTGATGGTGGGTGGAGGTGCATCATGATCATGGTGGAGGAGGTGGGTAGGGGGTGGGAGAATGATAGGTAAGGTGGATGGGTGGTGAGGTGGTCATGATCATGGTGGGAGTGATGGGGGTGGGAGATGGGTGGGTACTGAATGGTGGGTGATGGATGGTGGAGGTGGTCATGATCATGGTGGGAATGATGGGGGTGGAGATGTATGGTGGTAGTGGATGATGATGATGGTGGAGATGGTGGTAGTGATGATGATGGTGGAGGTGGTCATGATCGTGGTGGGAGTGATGGGGTGGAGATGGTGGTAGTGATGGTGGTGTTGGTGGTGATTGTGGTAGCCATGCTGATGACTCTGGTGGTGCTATTGAAGGGGATCCCGTTGATCATGGCAGTGCCATTGATCATTGTGACAGAGGCAGCAGTGGTAATGGAGGTGGTGATAGTAAAAGTAGTTTATTAAAGTAGCCGGGTAGAAAAACTGAGGTCAAAAGCAAGTGCAGCCTGGCTGCTATATTCAGCAAGGGGTGAGGTAAAGGGACATCACCTGGCTGGTGATAACCCTGGTTCCATTCTGCTTTGTGTTCACATCAGTCATACATGTATCTGACTTTCTCATTCCACCTCTTATTATTAACTTCATAAGGTATGAATAACTTAATAAGGTATCTTATTAACTCTACATTTCCACACCTGGCAGCATGTCTAACATAGAATAGATGCTTTGTAAATGTTTCTTCTGTGAATAAGTGCATAAGACCATGCACTTGGCATCAGGCAGACAGGATACATGTTTTGCTCTGCCATTTACTAGCTGTGCAACCTCAGACAAGTTAGTTCATCTCTCTGGGCCCTGTATATACTGAACAACTTTACTGAGCATCTTCGTTGGCCAGACACTGTTCTGAGCCCCAAGGCTGCAGTACTGAATACAGTCCTCTTGATCTCCATTCTCATGGAGCCTCCATTCAGCAGGGAAGACATACAGTGAACACATATTGGAAGGAGATAACTTTAGCTGGTGGTGACTGATATGGAACAAAACAAGGTAACTTGATAGAGGTGACCTGGCAGCTATTTTAGACAGGGTGGTCAGGGAAGACCTCTTTGTGAGGCTGAGACCTGAATGATGAGGAGGTGCCCCTCCCAGGGGAAATTGAGTCTCTGGAGATTCCTCAGAAGGGAAGCTCAAGGCAGAACTGACTTGAAGATGAGAGTGGCTCGGATCTTGGTGGGGCAGTGGAGGGGCGGAGCGCTGCATCATATAGGACCTCAGAGGGTAGGGAAGGGGTCAGGATCATTTTCTCCTCTACATGGAGAACTGTACTGGGGTTTCAAGCAGCAGGCTGGGTCTATTTTGGGAGTAGGATGGGAACACCATGCAGGAGGTGTAGGAGGGAGGAAAGGTAATATGCAAGGACAGTCCTCGAGTTTTGTTTAAGCAACGGAGTGGGTGAGGTGAGAAGCACCGGGGGAGAGACAGATTTAGAAGGAAGAAGAAATGAAGATCTATTTTTTGGCCATGTGAATTCTGAGAAGATTGTAGAGATCCCTGTGTCCTCATCTGCTGGAGGGGATAATAATAGAACTTGTAGGGCTGTGGGGAGAGTGAAATGGGGTGAGGTGCGGAGAGCACCCAGTGCATTGCCTCTCAGTGGTTCGGGTTCAGTGATGCTGCCCTGATCTTCTTTCCCTCCTTTCCCAGGTTCCTGGTGAGGCCAATCCCATCAACATGGTGTCCAAGCTCAGCCAACTGACAAGCCTGTTGTCCTCCATTGAAGACAAGGTACGTGTGGGGCTCCCGTGGCTTCTCTTCGTCCCCTCTTTGGTCCCCTCTTTGCATGGAGAATGTCCAGATGCACAGGCTCGATGTCCCCTTGACCCTCTGAATCTAACGCTGCTGCCCACAGGTCAAGGCCTTGCTGCACGAGGGTCCTGAGTCCCCACACCGGCGTTCCCTTATCCCTCCAGTCACCTTTGAGGTAAGTGGCCGTGGGACAGCAGAGCCTGGGCTTGGGCTCCACAGCTGGGCAGAGAGACATGTTCTGGTTCCTGTGGAAAGAGGGACTGAGGCTTGAGCTGGGGAAGAGCAAGGAGCCCAACAGCCAAGAATGGCAGTCAGTGGACCTGTGTCACTGTGACGGTGGTTCAGCGTCAGAACGGGCACCCAGAGGTGACTGGGAAACCGCCTTCAGAGAGGCACTGCAAGGGAGGAGTGTCTCATTGGCCCAGGCACCATGTAAACTTTGTCCTTCTCAAATGGCAGAGATGAGTGATATCAGACAGGGCTGCAAAATACTGCCTCAAGTGGGTGGGGAATTTAGAAAAACAAAACAAAACAAAACAAGACAAAAAACGTGCAACTCCTATGATTTCCCTGAGAATGACTGGATTAGACCCTCCAGGCTTGACCCAAAATGTGTTTTTCTTTACAATCCCCAGAGATTCTAGTACATTCAGCCCAGCACTGATCCCACATTCAGGAATCCAGTATGAGACCCACACCCCCTCCCCCCCACACACATTCCCCACCCCAAAGTCCTTTCTAGACCCTGTGATAATCCTCTATTAAGGTAAATTTCCATTTTCTGAGCATGCGTACACAACTGTTGTGGGTTTTTTTTTTCTATCATTATCAGTAAATGTTCAATCAGTGGTTGTAACAAGGCCTGGGAGTTTAAATCTATTACTAAAATCCTTTCCGGAAGTAGGTGACACATCAGATTAATGAGTGTTGTCAAAGTCATCAGTGAATGAACCATTTCCAGCAATTTGTCTGTTTCCACCAGCAAACCTGTTGGCAGAACGGCTCCCCTACATACAGTGGACAAGGGGGGTGCCCCAAGAGTCTCTGTGATTCCTGGGAGATGCCTGTGGAAATGTGCATGTGCACTGCTGGGGCAAGAGAAGCCCAATGGCCCTACGAAGGACGCCCACCAGACGTTGCCCAGCCATGTAGACAAGGGGCTCGGGCCGGGGGAGCCTTGCAAAAGCCCAGGCAGAAAATCAATGAGTCACACATCTCTTCCCCTTCTAAGGTGAAGGCAGAGTCTCTGGGGATTCCTCAGAAAATGCAGCTCAAAGTCGACGTTGAGTCTGGGAAACTGATCATTAAGAAGTCCAAGGATGGTTCTGAGGACAAGTTCTACAGCCACAAGAAAAGTAAGACCCCTTGCGCACATCAACCACTGGCTCTCACCTGCCTGTGGAATTCCTGCCCTGTCAGCTCACCTCTCAGAAGGCCTGCCCTGCAGGTCTGTCTTCCGCAGGCATGCACGTGTGCGCACGCTTCTGTGTGTGTGTGGGTGTGTGTGTGTCTTCTCTTCCCCACCAGGACTCAGTCTGATCCATGCTATCACCTCTCAGTGCCAGGCACAAAGCCTTGCACAGATGAGGTCTTGTTGACAATTGGATAGTGTCTGTAGCACAGGACAAACTAAACTGTGAGTACATGGACTCTGGAACGAAACTTCCTAAATTCACGTCCCAGCTCTGCCACTTAGCAGTTGTGTGACCTGGGACATGTCATGACCAATGTAGCCCTCAGTTTCCTTATCTGTAAAATGGGGATGATAAAAAGTACTTGAATAATATGCATACGGCTCTTTAGACTAGAGCCCAGCATGTAGTCGCCACTTTGAGAGTCACCTGTTATTAGCAGGTTCTGAGAACCATCAAATCAACTCATCCATAAAATGGAAATTCTTCACACGGCAAATGCATGTAGAGAAGCTGCAGTGGGGCAAGACAAGGGGATCCAGTGCCAGCAGGACAGATGAGGCCCCTGCCCACGTGGGATTTATATTCTGGTGCATTGAGTAGCCGATAAAGACTCAAATACATCTGTCAGTACAGATGGATGATCTGTCAATACAGTGGATGATCTGGCTACGAAAAGTGCTACAAAGAAAACAAAACAGGGCAATGGGGTAGAGGTTAACTGGCAATAGGGGATAGTGTAGAAGGGGCAGACAGGGAAGTTTCCTCTGAGTAAGAGGCACATTGGCGGAGACCCCAAGGCTGAGAAGCAACCAGTCGGGCAGGGGTCTGAGGGAAGAGCATCCCAGCTGGCAGAGCAGCATGTGCAAATGCTGGGAGATGGGCACTGGGGCTAGCAGGCCAGGGCCCAGGTTCGGGAGGCCAGGCAGGGTGTCAGGAGGCAGGGGGGTAGGCAGTGCCCAGTGCGGGGCCACATGAAGCTGGAGAACAGCAGCAGACAGAACCGGGGGTTGACGAAAGCGTGAGAGTTTCCTGAGCAGCCTCCGGTTCTGGCTGATGGCGAATGGACATCTTTCTTCATTTGGGTGGCCAATGAGTTCCCCTGAGAAAACTGATCAATGCGTAGACCCTTCCCTCAGATAAATCCCAACCTTCACACAACAGTTTGCATCCCTTGTCAGGTTTTAAGACCACTATGAAGCCCCCCAAGTCCCTGTGGCTACAACATTTTTTTATTTAGTGTCTCAAAGTTCATTTAGAGGGGCATGGGTAAGGTTGCCACACGTAGCAGATAAAAATACCGGAGGCCCAGTTAAATGTGAATTTCAGATAAACAACCAATATAGTATATGTATGTCCCATGCAATATTTGGGACATACTTATATGCAACAGTGATTCACAGTTTTTCTGAAGTTCAAATTTAACTGGGTCTCCAGTATTTTATCTGGCTTCTTCAGGCATGATCAGCATCTTTCTTTCTTTTTTTTTTTTTTGAGACAAAGCCTCACGCTATCTCCCAGACTGGAGTGCAGTGGCACAATCTTGGCTCACTGCAACCTCCGCCTCCCAGGTTCAAGTGATTCTCCTGCCTCAGCTTCCCGAGTAACTGGGACTACAGGACCACCACCACGCCCAACTAATTTTTTTATTTTTAGTAAAAACGGGGTTTTACCATGTTGGCCAGCCTAGTCTCAAACTCCTGACCTCAAGTGATCCATCTGCCTCGGCTTCCTAAAGTGCTGGGATTACAGGTGTGAGCCACCGTGCTCGGCCATCTTTGTTCTTAGTAAAGTAGTATGCACTAAGTGTGGGGAACTGGGAGGACCTTGGCAGGGCCTGTGCATTCAGAGTTCTCACTGTCTCTATGTCCTTGGAGATAGGATGTTCTGACCCCCAGGTATAGGGAGGGCTCCTCTCGCATGAGGGTCTGTAACCTGCTTTAGAGGAATGTCAGAGGGTCCTTCCTGCACCTGCCATTGCTCAAATTCCTTCAGCTTAAAATATTCAATATGCTTAGGATGCCCTATTTTGGAATAATGCATCCTGAATCCCACTGATAGCACAGTGGGGTGCTAGTAGCCCAGCCTTGAGTCCCAGGTCAGCCACTTGTGACTTGGGTCTGGTGTCTTCTCTCTGGTCCTCAGTTTACTCTTCTGTAGAGCAGGGATAGTAGTAGCATCTTGCAGGGCTCTCATGAGTCTTATGTGGGTGAACATCCAAGCACCTGGTGCCCAGCCTCCAGGGAGTGCTCAATACGATTGACTGTCACCACCACCACCACCGTTATTATTACCCTTCCAGGGTAGCGGTGAAGGAGACTGATCTCAGGGAATTGCTGGGGGTGACATCATAGTGGTCATAGTCCTGCAGAGGGGAGCTCATAGCATCATGGCGGCCCCTGTGTATAGTGGCAAGTTGGGCAGGAGAAATGGGGAGTCGCTGATGGTTTGAGCAGGAAGGCTGTGTGGAAGGTGAGCTTAGAGTGGTGGTTTCCTCTTATCTGTTGATATGGTTTGGCTGTGTCCCCAGCCAAATCTCATCTTGAATTGTAGCTCCCATAATGCCCATGTGTGATGGGAAGGACCGGGTGGGGAGGTAATTGAATCACGGGGGCGAGTCTTTCCCATGCTGTTCTCATGGTAGTGAGTAAGTCTCACGATATCTGATGGTTTTATAAAGGGGAGTTCCCCTGCACAAGCTCTCTTGCCTGCCACCATGTAAGACATGACTTTGCTTCTCCTTTGTCTTCTGCCATGATTTTGAGGCCTTCCCAGCCATGTGGAACTGTGAGTCATTAAAACTCTTTCCTTTATAAATTACCCAGTCTTGGGTATGTCTTTATTAGCAGCATGAGAACAGACTAATGTATCTGTTAAGGAGAGAGGGGTGGCCCCAACTTGGATAAGAGGAGATGGAAACGTAAGAAGAGTGAAGATTGTCAGAGCACCTGATTACTAAAAAACTTAAGATTGAAAGAAACACCTCCCAGATTCTGAGAAGTGCTGTGAACTTTTGTTGGTTTAACGCAACAGACATTTGCGTAGCATCTTCCATGGGCCAGCCCTTCATTGTGAACACTTCCTCTAAGGGTTTGCTGTGGAGAAGGGAATGCTGGTACATGGGCAGGTATTAGAATGTGCTCCAGGGGGAGGTTAGTCCCCAGGGAGGACTCATTAGCTCTTTTGAGGAGTAAGGGCAGGAGGCTTCACACCACCGAGGTGGCTCTGACTGGGATTTGAAGGATGAATAGGATTTTGCCAAGCATGAGGCAGGGGAGGGCACTGGGACTGAGAGAATGGGGTGTGCAGGGAAAGGGACAGGGCATTAGTGAAATCACGCATTACATGTTGCTCATCTCTCTCTGTGATTCTGGAGAGAGAAGCAGCTGGGCATGCCGTCCTGGGTGTGAACAGAGCCTTGAATGCCCGAGTAAGGATTGGAGCTGTTGCTGCTGAGAGGTGGGTATTCTCCTTTGTGGAAACAGATCAGGGATGGGTGAAAGAGCTAAACTAGAGATCACTGGCTCTAAGAAAACCCAGCTCTAATTAAGAATAGCTATGCGTGGGTGCAGTGGCAAGCACCTGTATTCTCAGCTACTTGGGAGGCTGAGGTGGGAGGATCACTTGGAGCCAGAAGTTTGAGTTCACCCTGAGCAACATAGCAAGACCCCATCTCTAAAAATTAAATAATAAGAATAATAATAATGCGCTATTTCAGAGAAGGTTCGTGAGCCCTGAAGAGTGTGGATGCCCACAGACTGCCAGCCCACTCTCCGGGACTGTGCCCACCTGGCTCCAGTCTTCCTGCCAATCCAGGATGGTGGAGCCTGACTTCCTCTCTGTGGTGACACCTGTCACATCAGAGCACAATTGACTGCTCACAAACGCCCTCCCCCTGAAAAGGGAAAGCTCTTTCCTTTATACACCCTGGAGTTTGCAGGCCCCAGCTTGGGCCCTGGGGCTCAGCAAGTGTGTGCTCAGGGATTGCCAGTTGCCTGAGGCACTTGCAACTGTCATCCATCGTGAATCCCAGTTCAGTCTCCTCCCTTTAATGTGGGCTTCACAAAGGCTGGGATGTGGATTTTTTGGTTGTTGTTAACCACTAAATCCCAGAGCCAAAACAGTGCTTAGCACAGAGTAAGTAATCAGTAAATGGATGTTGAGAGAATGCACGCATGAATCAGTGAATGAATGCAAGAATGAAGGAACACACACAGGAATGAGAATGAACGTAATAATCAATGAACGCACACATGAATGAGAGAATGAAGGCAAGGATGAATGAATCTATGTATGAATGAGCGAATGTGTCCTAAACCAGGTGAGATCATACAGTTCTCATGGATGCATGTTTAAGTGGCTTCTTTATAGTTGGTGCTGAAAGGCAGTGTGGTTCAGGAGTGGGGGCTCTAGGTAAACTGGATGCACGTGTTGGTTCCTTGACTTGCTAATAGTATGATCTCAAGTAAGCTACTTAACTCCTCAAAGCCTCAGTGATGCCTCCACAAGACAGGGGTTCCTACAGGGGTTGCTGTGAGAGTTAATGGGGTAAGGAGTGTCCTTAGTGCAGAGTCTGGCTCATGGTGAGCTTCCAGCCATGGTTATTATGATAGAGTGGCGCTCACCTGGAGGGAATCTGTGGTTGCAAGAGTTGGAGCTTCCTTACCCTATTTTGATCACCATGTTCATGAATAGCTTTGGCATCATGGCCTTCTACACATAGGGAACAGCCAGTTGCTGTATGTTGAAATCATAAAATAGTCATGCTCTGAGTACCTGCTATGCACATGCCAGGCTTTGGGATGCGGAGGTGAACCAGCCAGCTGGGGTCCTAGCTTTCAGGAAAGTTGCATTCAAGTCAGGGCAAAGGAGAAAATAAGCAAACACACAAATATACGAACCAGGAATGTGTCAGGGAATGATAAACTCTAGAGCTGGGGATT